TTAGTTCCCAGAGGATTACTTTGTTTATTGAGCTAACAAGACGTTAAGAAAATGAATTCTGAATTTAGAAGCTACTTATGTTGAGAGCACCAAGGCATTTTAAATTATTTAAGAATGACATAAAAGAAACATTGATGAAAGTATCTGAAGTTGATGGATGTCCATAGATTTATCCTCTGATAACTTTTGTGTAATTTTGGATTACTGGAAAATATTCATGGTCATTACAATACATAGAAAAATGTTACGTTTTTAAAAAACTGATCCTAGTGTTTCACCAAAGCCAAAAAACAAGCCAAACAAGGAGTAACAATGAAGAAACAGACCTAAGCCATGTATATATCTGCCCTGAAAAACACAAACCAATACATCTGACTGAGTAGGAGAAAACCGTCACTTTAAAAATTCATAGCCGTTTCGTCTGAGTACCAGTAGAGTTTGAATTGTGCACTCATGAAGAAGGGGTGAAGTATTTTACTTACATCTAAAATTGGGTTTGAGTTCCTGCCTTTGTGTCTGTGTAATTTAGGTTTCCATTTTATTTAATGTGCTAATTAAAAATGGGTAAAATAATCCTGTTCCAAAAGAGAACATTTCTGGACATTCTTTTATTGAAAAAACACTATTTGTTCAAGTCTATTTTTTCATTTATACGTACACATAAGTTTACTTAACAAATGCTTATAGTCATCCCTATAAAGGTGCTTAGCCAGGACTGCTAAGGTTGAAAAAGCATCAATATTTATTGAGCACTTATAATTTACTAGGTACTGTTCAAAGTACTTTACATAGCTTACTTTAACTCTTCCAGCAGCCAACCCTGTAAGGTCAGCACTGTCACTATCCCCATTTTATGGAGAGAAAGCTGAGGAAGGTGACGGTAGGTGCACTTGCTCAGGGTCACACAGCTGATCTTCTGGCCCAGGCAGCCTGACCTCAGAGTCTGTACACCTAACCGTTCAGTTCTGCTACCCAAAAACTTCTGAGAGAGGGCACAGCCACAGCCTCACCTTTCAGTTCTCTTCTGTGTAACAATCACCCCATAAACAGTTACTGAGTGTCGGGCATGTACACGAACTGTGATAAGACAGCACCCGGGTCTTGCGCTCAGAGAAGGGCTCACTGCTAACGTGGGTTTGAGAATCAACTCCACCCTTCTGGCTGTGTGAGCTTGTGCTGTAAACCCTTTATGCCATGGTTTCTTTATTTATAAAATGACAATAATAATCATGCCACTGAGTAAGCATGAAATGCGATAACTATTTAGCAAAGGATAGTAAACAAATATTACAGACCAGTATAGAAAGTTCTATATGGAAGAACTGTTGAAATTATATTGGTGCTTTGGGGGAGGTGGTAACAAGAAAAGAATGAGAAAATGGGAGTTAAATTGAGGGGAGGGTTCTAAATTAAAGCCAAGTCTTAGACCCAAAGTTTCGTAAGTTTATTTCGTATATTAAACTTAACACAAATGCATGTGTTTCATCAATTGCAGACTAAGGTAACATGTATTGAGTACCTGTTATGTGCAAGGTACTGCAATAGGATTTTCCCACATTCTCTGTATTATCTCGTGTTTACAAGACTCTGAGGTGTCGACACTGCAGTTGGCTGTGCATACAGCTCACTGCTGTTTCTCCTTTAAGCACAGATAACCATTATCAGTGTGCTCCCTGCAACCATCTATAGTCCCACATGGATGCTTATGTTTGTGTTTGTGCATAGATGAACAAATTTATATTTGGGTGACTTTAAAAGTCCCAGCATAAAAAAGATAATACATTGTGAATTTTTAAGACTGTATAGTATCTTTTACATTTGAAAAAGTAATAAAACACCCTGGCTGGTGTGGCTCAGTGGATTGAGTGCCAGCCTGTGAACCAAAGTGTTGCCAGTTCAATTCCCAGTCAGGGCACACGCCTGGGTTGTGGGCCAGGTCCCTGGTAGGGGTCCCATGAGACAATCGCCCATTGATGTTTCTCTCCCTCTCTTTCTCCCCACCTTCCCCTTTCCCTAAAAATAAATAAATAAAATATTTATTAAAAAATAATCATTTAAAACTGATTTTTTAAAAAATTATAAAGCATAGATTTTATGTGTTATTTTTTCATTGCTACCACTTCTTGTCTTTCTCCTGTGCTCCAAATATCTAATCAACATTCTGAGGATACTAAACCTACTTTACTTCCCATCCAGAGTTGTAGGCTGCTTCTGCTCTTCCTTTCCCTATCTCGGTTAAAGAAGTCAGGACAATTTAGTGACCAACCCAGTTTTCCAAGACAGAAATTTGGAGGTTACTTCCTACTGAGTCACCAAGTCGCCTGCACAGGCACCTCCCAAATGTCTCTCATCTCTTCTCCTCAGGCTCACTGTTCGAGCACAGACCCTCTCAGCCTCTGCCTGGCTGACTGCCTCTCCCTTTGGTTTGCGTGTCTCTGTTATCTTCTTCCATCTATCATCCACAACATTGTTCCAGTTTCTACCTAAAACAAAGGTGTGATTATTTCTCTACTTGAAACTTGCAATGGTTCCCTAGTGCCCACGAGATAAAGGCCAAGGGCACTTGCAAGTCAATCCATGGCTTTCACCGACTGGCCCTGCCCTGCTTTCATATCATCATCTGCTACCAGTGCTGGCCAGACAGCTGTTCTAGCAATACTGGAACACTTGTCAATCATACAACTTTGGACCTAACCCTCCCAATGCTGGGTACTGTTCAGAGTCCATCTTCAATTACACAATTTCTATCCAATCTGTTTTATTAAAAATTCCTACAATATTATTATATATTTTGTTTTCTCCTCTGCACTTCCACCAAATTTTAAAGAGCTCGTGGCTAAGTAATAAGAAGACTAAAAGGCACCTAAGTTTGGATGCCTTAGCACTGAGGGTCCTGTCCACCTATAGGAGTCGATGTCCTCCACCAGAGATGTCACAGCCCAGCCTCATTAATGCCAATGAGCACCATCCACGGACAAAGTGTCTTTGCCCAATGACAGGACACACTGCACAGTCTCCCAGTTGCAGTGTGTTTCCACTGAACAGATGAATCAAATAGCTTGTCAGCTGAATAATGTACAGGTAATATCCACATATATATTTTGCTTTTCTTTTCAAGTATGTTATTCTTCCATCAATGAAATAAGCACCTAACTGAGTTCTCATGGACAATTATGAATGTGCATTATTAAATTTAATAGCTCTTATCAGCAAAAAATAATCATGAATAAAAAGCAAATTATATTTATTTGGTATATTAATAAACATATAATACTGATGTTGGTAAAGATAAAAAAATTCTATTTCACTAACATATATAAGGCCTTTATCAGCTATTCTTCAATTTATCTTTGAAGTACATCTGGAACTTAAAAGTTAAAAAGAGAATAAGTTCAGTTGTTAGCATTAGATCAACACATGTAAGAGATGTTTTATACAACTCAAATGATTGTTCCTGATACATCAGTGCCTATCAAAAAAGAATGCTAAGGAAAATGTTAAAGTATTGAGAAAATTGTTTAGGATTGAATGTACTTTGTGTTAGGGAGTAATTTACCTCGGCTTCCAAACATGTGATCTACATGGGTTTTGAAGCCAGAGCCTTAGTCGCAATAGCAATATAATTGAATCAAAGGCACTCACTGGCCCAGGGTAAGACATTATCATCATTAATGATTTTTTCAAATTAAGCTCTAGTCTAGAAGAACTTCTTAACAACTATAGCATGTGTTCACAGATAAAAACTAAAACAGCCCTGGCTGGTGTGGCACAGTGGATTGAGTGTTGACCTGCAAACTGAAGGGTCCCCAGTTCAATTCCCAGTCAGGACACACACCTGGGTTGCAGGTCAGGTCCCCAGAGGGAGGGACGCGAGACAACCACACATTGATGTTTCTCTCCCTCTCTTCCACCTTTCCTCTCTCTTTAAAAATAAATAAATAAAATCAATCTTTAAAAAAAAAACTAAAACAAAAAATCTTTGACACTAAGGATTGAATAAAAGTTCAAATGATTTTTCTGGTCTAAAAAAGTCACAAGATGATTATTTTTGTTGCCTCCCTTTATTAAAGGCCCAAAGTGGATACATGCTAGCGAACTGTCTTCCTATGCAATGTGAAAGGGAACACTTTTTTAAAACAGCAATTTATTTCTTATTTAAAAGGTAGGGACAAACTCCAATCTCATAAAGGCCTGTGGGAGTTCTTAGCAAGATTCTCATTCTATGCAATTTGATAATAATAGATCACTCATTCTTATTTAAGAACTCTCCCAAGAAGTTGGGGTTTACAACATCGAGGTACTTAGATACTGTAAAGAGAGTATGCAATTGCACATACAGCACACTATTGACAAAATTAGTGCATGGTCATTGGATATAAAGTGGTAAGTCAGATGGATATTGTAGACATCATCCAACATCTTGGACTTGAAACAACATTCTGTCTATGATATTAAAACAGAAGAATCTTTGCAGAGCATTAACCTATCATTACACAGAGTAAATGACATGGCACTGCAGCCTAATTAGCAGTGTAGTTTGCATCTATAAAAGAGAATTAGCACTACTGTTCCTTTTTTTATTATTAGTTTGTGTTTCCACAAAGGTATGACTTTATCTGTAAGGTTCACTTCATTTATACTCCTTTACAAAGGATTTAATTATGTTCTTTTAGCTCACTACACTGAGGAAATTGAAAATGGCCACTTTAAAATTAAAAATGTTAGAGAAATTAGTGAGTAGATTACTTACTCTATAACCTTTCTTCTTTCAGAGATACAGAATGGAAGCATGCTTAAATAAATAAGGCATAAGATTTTCAGAAGAGAAAATACTAGGCAGGCAAATTATTCATCATCTTCCTTTCCTCTTTCCCACATGTATTCTACAAGTTTTTTCAGTTTGCCTGGGCAGCAGGAGTTAATAGGAAAGTGTAGCAATATGATAAAATCCCTGACAGTTACATCACTTTAGCGTCAGCAGCCAGAAAACATCAACTTACATCTGAGGAAGGCGATTCCAGAACAATGCCAAATCCCAGGACGTGGTTCTCGGAGGCGGAGGTGTGCTCAGCCGCCTGGAGGGCAGGCTGCTCTGAGGCCACAGCGGTCTTCTTCTCAGTCTCTAACACACTGGGCTTCTGTTTCACAGTAAGAGGTTCAACAGTCTTAGGGGGCACTTTTTTCTTTTTATTTCTCTTGCGTGAGACAGCAGTTCGCTGGGAGCATATAAGGGAAATTGGGGGTTGTTGTCTGTTTTGGGTTCCAACTGTGAACAATAAACAAAAATATGGTACAGGCAATTGTGTCCAACTTAGGAAAAACTTAGCACCCGTCTATCTGCAGACGAAGCACACCAGAATAAAATAAAGCACGCTGGACCTGGCTTTACCAAATGTGGGCTCTGGAGCACCTTAACGTTCTAAAGGCAGAAAAACACCCAAGGGAGAACTCTGCTGCAGATGCTGGTGAATAATTGATTGTACTGCTACTGCTGGGTTCAGTGAAAGAAAAGGATGATGAGCTATGAGAAAACACCTGAACATCATTTTACAAATCACGTGACATTTTTATATCAATGAGAACTCCTAACTTAAATTGAAGTATAGATGCCCATACTTTTGGGTAAGCCAGTTTCAGGAATATTCCAATTGTCATTTTGGGTTAAACTGATCAGTTGCTAGCACTGAAACTGACAAAGACTGGACAAGGATCATCATCTGGGTAAGACCAAGCAACTGAGCAAACGAATCAGGATGGAGTGACCAGTGTGCATGCACCAGGAAGCATGTGGACAAAGCCTGCTAGTCACTTGTCAGGTCCAGTGACTCCTTCCTCACAAGCCAGTACTGTCCACACATCAACTGTCTCCACAGCACTACACTGCTGGTTCAGACTAGCCTGCTTCTCCATGCCTCAGTTTTATGTGGCTGAAAAGTAGAAATAATATAGTTCTATACAAGTTGAGCAAGTGAGTAAAATCCAGAAAAGGCGAAAAGCACTCAACAAGAGCTAAGTACTAATACTGAAAATATACTTAAAGAAATAAGGATGGTAATTATAATTTCCACAGGTGCACTTTGAAAAGTAATGTTTGTTAATATTTATGAATACTCTCACAGAAAGTTTAATAGGAAAATATGGCCTTGTTATTTAAATTTTCATGTGTTAATATGGCTTACTAGATGTGACCATAGGGTATGCTTGCCTTTTTACATTAACACACCTATAAATATGTTAAATGAAAATTGAAGCTCTTTAACTGCAAATAAATGTAGATTGCAAATAAAGAATAGTCATACTCTAAACATGGTATTTTCATCTCCAGGCTGGGAAGAGATTTATAACTGAGTGTTAGAAACGAACTATTATACTTGCACTGCATGTAAACTGAAACATTTTTCATCACCAGCACAGGAATTCCCCAAGCTCACTGGGTTCTGAGATTATCTGGCTGTGCATTAGAATCACCCCAGAGCTTGAAGAAAGCTTCAGCGTTTCAGCCTCACCCCGGATTAATTGAACTGGAATTCCATCCAGGGTTGGTGCCCGGGCACTGAGATTTTTCTGAAGCTCCTCAAGTATTCCCAATGTGCAAGCTGGAGTGCAGAGCTTTTCTCTGTTCTCTCCAAATTTCCACCCAAGGCTGAATATCCCCAAAGCCAAGTGGACGACTGAAGCAACTGTCAAGTCTAAAACACACGCCTCTCCAAGCCTTGCTATTCTAAATTAAAAGTGAAAATGTTTTTGGTTTAGAAAATACAAGGGACTGAGTTTTCTTCTCCTTTTGCAAGTCTAGACATAGCTAAAGTTTTCTTGCATCCAGATCTTATCCTTTGATCCTACTTCTTGTCTTCTTAAAAATAAAACTTTCAAAATATATATAAACTAAATTGAACCTTAAAGGCAATAAAACCTAGCCACACAACAAATTCTTAAGTTAAAGAAGAGTAACTTATTTAGTTGATCCTTTCTGCCCTCCTACACCTTTGGACTGACCACTTCCCTAATCTGCAAAGCTTCAGAACAGCAAACATTGCAACAAAGTGGCATCTACTTAAAAGTTTCTAAAATAGCTTTTATAGTTGCCATTTCAGTAGTAAAGAGCTTAAGTAACAAAATAAATCAGTACAATTGCCTATGCATATTTTCTTAGGTGCTAACAAATTCTTCCTCTGAAAACAGAATCTGTACATGGGGAAGTAACTTTTCTTTCTGAGTTCCTTATTTAGGAGATGTTAGCCTTTCCAGCCGGTTAGTAAGAACACAGGATATCATGGTAGAACAAGGTGAGGTAAATGCTTACTGACCTGACCAAAATGCTTTTCCCCCTTGCAATCAAACCAAATTCAGCACATAAAATTAGATGTTGCTTTTCAGAGAGCCTTTTGTTCACCTTACTTTCATGTGATCTTGGGCGACTAAGATGTCTTAAGTATTTAGCTCTTTAATATCAAAAGCACATCACTAATATTAAAATTTTACTAGAAGTCACTAAAAGGCATCACATACAATTTCTGAACGCTGACCTTTGTGAATACCTTTACAAGGGAAGGATGGGAATGCTAGTCATATATGACTATGCTGCTTTAGGCCAAGGTCGAGAAGCACTTTTCCCTGACAAGAGGAAAGGCTTAGTAAAATGATTGCTTATTTTCTCTATCTGTGACAAAAAAGTTCTTTCCCCCCTCTAATCGTGAGGATTAGAAAACAGAGCCACTATCATGAAGACCTAGCCTTCCAGACTTCTAGGAAATGCCCAGTGGTCTTTAGGACAGTACTCATGAAATAGCTTGCACTCGTGTCATGCTTTACAGAGCTCATTTACTACCTCCTTCTCTTTTGAAAACAACCTTGAGAGCGAGATATTAATACTCCAGTAACAGAGGAGAAATCTGAGGCTCAGAGAAGTGGCTCAGGTAAAGGAGGAAAAACTGAACTCTGACCCCAAACTGCAAATTCACTGCTCTTCTTTCTTCATCTTGTCTAACAGGAGTGAGGACAAAAAATGGTGTCATGTAAATAAAGAAGACGAAACATGTCTATGAGCTTCTCTGTCTTGAATGCTAGGGAGAAAGGTCACCAGCAGAGAGTGAGGGCCAGCACCTCTTGTCAGCCTGTGCGCTTCACCACTGGAGCCCAGGATTCCTAAAGGGCTCCTCCACACCTGCGTGGCTTCCCTGCTGCCATGCCAGCCCCAACAGCAGGAGTGGGGTCGTCAAGGTGCAGGCAGCCCTAAACTGAGCATCAGAGATGAGGCAGCCTCATTTTCTTTCCTGATCAGAATGGAACCTCTTTGTCAATTCACATTCGGAAAATGAGCTGAAGAACTTTGCCCACCTTCCTGTTTAACTGTTTAAAAATACAATGAACTGACAATTGTGAGGTGTTAGGAGATCAGGGGGTGAGGTATACAGAGCACATGTACATAAGTAGAGGAGGAGTAGTACTAACAATAAAAAATCCAATAGATTTGCTAAAGGGAAAATGGGTTGAAGAAAAAGCTGAGAAAACAGACCCTTGAAAAATCACAGCAAGACAGCACAGAGGGAAGAACTCAATAATAAAAGCACTCTAAACATCCAATTTTAGATGTCAGATATGCATTAAGAATCAGAGGGCTGCATCTGAGGTGTAATCTTTGTACCTGCTTGAATTTGCATTAATTTCCGCATGGTCTTGAGTTCTTGGAGAATGGCCTGCAATGTTGACTGGCAGTTACAGGTACAGCAGTTTGATCCAGCTGATGAATTCAACACTGGAAGTTCTCCTAGGCATGAAAGAAAAGAATGACACACTCCATACAACACCAAAATTATAAAGAGGAAAAAAAGATACTTTGACAGGACTCAAAGCCTGTGCAATCATTATGAGACTGTGCCTAAGGAAAATGTACCCAATATTTTTCACAACTTAAATTTGTGCATCTGACTTTATCTAATTATCTAGGTTTCTGTATTTATTACAAGGTGTGTGTATTTCACAGGGTGGTGGAGCCTGCAGGAAAGTTCACAAACAATGCACTGTCACAGCAGGCCTTCCTATTGTCACACCAGTTCATCTCATATAACAATAGCTGAAAGATGCACTGGAAACACGCTCACGCTATTTTGTACAAAAAAAAAACTAGCTCTGAGAACAGCCTTACAAAAATAAAAAAGAAAAAAAAAACAAAACAAAAACCCCCCCCGGCAACTGCATGTGTTATAAGAGTTCATAGTAAGAATTAAATGTGTCTAACTATGAAAAAAAATAGTCTTGGTATTTAGCATGTTATCTCAAAAATTAAGAACTGTCAACACACTAAAACTTTCAGGGCGCTCTCTGAGTGCAGTGTGTGTGGGGTGGGGAAGAGTGGGGGGATGGTATGAGAGGGTACATTTGATCTTGATGGGTTAGAGGGTGTTGATGTACTGGCTTTTCTCCAGCTTAATGAAGGCAATCCTCCTCTATCTTTTTTTCCATTCCCAATTCTTACAGTTCCATCATTTTAGACTTTCTTCACTGTTTAAGTTCAACATATTTTCTTTAAAATAACTATCCTATTCTTTTCCCCTTATAATAAGCAAACAAACATCTTCCTACTGTCCTTAGAATAAAAGGGAACATTCGGAAAACCACGCTTTCAGTGGCGCCCCCTCTAGCACCAGTACACAACCCCACTCTCATAAAATGGGCTGTATAAGTGAGTCACTTGTATCCCTTAGGTTTTTCCATAGGTGGAAGAGGTAAGGTAATGTTTTGGTCCAATTACATCTTCTATTTTACATTATATATAATTTAAATCCTATAATATTCATTAGTTGTGGATGCTATAGAAAAATTCACCACAGCAAAATCATGGAATACTTAGATAACAATGTTTGGAGTAGCATAATTATTTATGTTCAAAATTGTAGCAAACTGAGGTGTTATAACACCTAAATTGCAAATAATTTCAGTGAAATACCAGTCATAGTTATATACGATAAATTTCTCTTGAAAAGATGAAACAAACACAAAAGAGATCTATTTTCAAATGAATACCAGGGAATTTATGTTAGTAGCTTTCAACACAACATTTTCCTACAAAGTCAATGCACCTTCCTTGTATACTGGGAAAGAGAACTCTGTTCACCCAAAACTTACTGCTGTGGAGTTTACTAACTCCACCCATACCTGAGGGCAGCTTATTTCTCTTCGAGCTTCTTCCATGGCCAAAGAATCAGGGGGCCCTTGTCGACCATTCCTAATCACTATTCTAAGTACTGTCTTTATTCTTTTTAGAGGACAAAACCAACTCCTTTCAGCTTGTTATAAATCATTTTCTAATTTGAAAGAGAACTGACTTTTTATTTTTATGGAGGAGTCTTTCAAGAGCCATCTCCCTGCAAGCTGGATGCAGGCCAACCTATGAATCTGATGTTGACGTATGAAAGAGAGAAAGAGAAGACGCCGGTACACCTCCTTGGGTCCCTCGGGTCTCATCAACGGTGTCCCAGGATGGCTTTTCACGCATCTGAACTGGTTACTGCAAATTGTGTTTAAAAAATAATAATCAAAACAATTTTTAATCTTGAAGGATAACAAATGGGAAAAATCCTTTACTTTTCAAGAAAACTGAAAATGAATTTTTACCTCTTTCTTGTGGGAACTATAGGTCTGTACATCTATACATAATTTATAGGACAAGTAACATCCAAAGTCATTGGAGGAAATTTAACATGACTGGAAAAAAATCATCCATTTTTCCCATAAGTTTTGGAAAAAAAACTCCCATTTGATTTTTTTCTAAACAATTAGAAATTTCAATTAAGGAAATTTTACTTTAAAGGAATACATTTCAACCCTAATGAAGCAAGTTATAAAATACGGAGCATTTGGTTCAGTAGCTGGGATATGAGGTTAAAACAGGGACTAGGGTGCTGGGTTATCAGTCCTCCCTTTCACTACAACTCTTCTGATGATGAAGAAAAGCAACAGTGTTACTTGTCTTCTTAGAGTGGAGTCGTGTAAGTTTTTTATATATTTTGGAGATTAAACCCTTGTCTGAGGTATCATTGGCAAATATGTTTTCCCATACAGTTGGTTCTCTTTTAATTTTGACACTGTTTTCTTTAGCTGTGCAAAAGCTTTTTATTTTGACCAGAGGGGAGAGAAGAGGGAATTTCAGGGGAGAATGGGAAGCGTTTACAGGAACAAATTTAAAGGACACATGGACAAAAGCTAGGGGGAGGGTGGTAATGGGAGGGAAGTGGGGAGGGTTGGGTGGGTGGGCTGGAACAGGAGTAAATGGAAGAAAACTGTACTTGAACAATGATTAAAATAAAACTTAAAAAAAAAGAAAGCACAATGCAGAAAAAAAAAAAGAAAAGCAACGGTGTAAGCAAGGGGATGTACTACTAATACACCACATGACCAGGAGTCTTCTTTTAACGACAAAGGGGAGGGCGCTCTTTCTGCCCTAGTGTTCAGTCTTTCGTGACAAAACCTGCACACCAGCGAACGGCAGCTACAACTTCTTAAAGGGCTAAAATCTCAGAGAAATCATCATTTCTACTATAGAACCCCAGTCTTTCCTGAGTCTCAAGTCTCGTATTTTATATTCTGCAACTTTTCCTTCCATGTCTTCCCTGTCTCTTAAAATAACTCAACTAAGGCAGGTGATTAAAGTAGGGCTTAATGTACAGCATTAGTGTCATTTTCTGATAACACTGATGAGAAAAAGAAATCAATTCCTGGCCAAGGCCACTGCCTGTTTGGACTTGGCACATTCCCCCCACGTCTGTGTGGGTTTCCTCCCACATCCCAAAGGTGTGCACCTGAAGTCCACTGCTGTGTTGCTGTTGTCCCGGTCTGAGTGAGTGCGGGTGTGAGTGGCCCTGGGATGGAAGGGCATCCTGTCCAGGGCGGGTCCACGCCTTGTACCCTGAACTGTTGGGAGAGGCTCCGGACACCCGTGATCCTGAATTGGAATCAGCGAGTTGGAAAAGAATTCTCTTACTTATTTTTATTCACCTTTCTTAAATGTATAGATAGCTCACATTTACTTCAATGTGTAATATTACAAGTGTTTTGGGTCTTTATTTAGAAGTTTGGTGATGCTTTTGTGACCAGAAATAGGCCGTAGGAACAATTGGTCCATGGTAAAATTGGTTTCATTATATATCATTTTGCTTGAAGTCGCAGTTTCCAAAGACCTACCTGATGACATTAAGTGAGGACTCACTGAACACAATGAACATTTAGGAATAAAACAACACTCGGACAACCCCCCGTAAGAGCATTCTAAATGCCTGATAACGACCATACCGTTGGAGCTCCCGGCAGTGTGGGGCTGACTCTGGAAGGCTCTAGCGCGGGGGCCAGACTGCCCTGAGAGCTGCCCGCTCTGGGCTGGGAACTCATTCCACGCACCCCGAGAAGAAGGGTGGAGGCTCTGTGGGGCCTCAGCAGAGTTCAAACGCTGGGGCCAAATGGAGTCCAAATCCTGGGGTTCTTCTTTTAATTTTTCGCCTTCCTTGCCAACACGCTGATAGATCCTCCCAGTGCTATCATTCAGTAACCTTCTCATTCCTGTGATTTGTTTTTTAATTTCCATGCTTTCACCTCCTAATGGGAACAGGGCCAAAGAGAGCACTGTAAATTAGCAAAAGAAAAAACAATCCACTACCAGAAGATACCACCACCCCTTCTCTGGAAATGGCAAAGATTACTGATTCCAGGTGCAAGCTTCTAGATACTAAGTAGTCCATAAAAATTAAAGGCAAGGAAACTGGCTGTGGTCTAAAGGATCTGATTATATTCCTGGTGCATCTCAGCTTAATCTCTTTCTGGCCAAACTCTTTTATGGAAAAAAAAAGAGGTTTTCTGAGTGAGTTTCATCTGGGACATACTTTAAATTCCCTCCTTGGGAGTGCTTTCTGGGTGAGGGTGTCATAAGAAAACAGGCTGAGGCAGAAGATGGAGGATGGGGTTCGAGACTGAAGCCCCGCTTGGAGCTGCTCCAGCTGACAGCTGTAGCAGTAAAGCCTGGAGGGTGGCTTGCCCACCTGCTCCAGTCGGGTGCAGATACCAGGGCGAACGGGTGGCATGGGCTGGCATGCAGGGCTTTTTGAGGACCAGCAGTGCACTCCAGTATGATGCACTCAGTGGAGGCATCACCGTCAGAGGTGAGAGGGCAGGGGCATAGAAACATCAGGGCAAGGGAGGAAGGTCTTGTCTTTCTCAGACCAGCTCACAAGGGAGGTGCCTCTGGGACTGTGACTCAGCCCAGTGGCATCCAGGGGTCCCTGGCTGCACAAGCACCAGAAGGGGAAGTGCAGTCTCCCACTGCCACCCTGCCCCATCCTCCTGACCGCCTCACCCTGGCCCTGTCTGAACCAAACCCACTGGCGCTTCCACTTGGTAACCATGTGCAAAAGAGAACAGGTTGTTTCAAAGACTACCTCACCTATGCATTGACTTTAAAAAATAGTGGTAAAAACTGCATCATATCAAATTTACCATCTTAAGCATTTTTGAGTACACAGGTCCACATTGCATATATTCACATTGTTGTTCAACTCCAGAAGTTTTACACTGAACATTTTTTTTTAAGATTCTTTTTCCCTCAGGGATTTTTTTTTAAACTAAGGTATCTTCCTACTACACCGGGGGTACTTAGTAAATATTACCTAAAGATGACTGTCAAATTATACAAATATAAAATATTTTCTAGCAATAAGACCAATAAAAGATGCCAATATCTATTAGGAGCTATTTCAAACATAACACCTTCTTAAACTGTGCGTCAGCCAGTATCTTCACAAAGGTTAAGAAAAGTGGATTTTCCCCCTCTAATCTGGGTGTTAAAATAAAAGTATTATGCCAAGGTATGTATACACACTCATGCAATCACTCTATTAATTGCTTGAAATTTAAACTATGAGAAAAAACAAAAGCCTCACAGAAAGTATCTATTAAGAAAAACAGCTCCTGCAAACAAATCCAGCATGTTTAACATAATGATGTTTTAATGCACTTAGTATCATGTGAGCCAGATTTCTCCATAGAACTGGTAACTGCACAACAAATTTAGGTATTTTGTGTTGTCTAGTTAGATATTTAGTTAGTTAATATATAAATACATTACTGACTGTAAGGAAACTTTTATACATTGTTTTGAAATCAGTATCTTCCATTTTTTTTAAAGATTTTATTTTTTAGACAGGGAAGGAGAAAGAGAGAGAGAGAGAGAGAGAAACATCAATGTGTGGTTGCTGGGGACCATGGCCTGCAACCCAGGCATGTGCCCTGACTGGGAATCGAACCTGTGACACTTTGGTTCACAGTCTGTGCTCAATCCACTGAGCTACGCCAGCCAGGGAGTATCTTCCATTTTTAAAATGGCAATAAAATACTAACTCTGCCTTTAATGCCTAACATGGGTGAATACAGATATGACAGATTTCCAAATTTACAATACTGTTACGTGTTGCTATATGCTTGAGAGGAGAAATATTTTAATTTGTAATAGAACCATTATTGCATCAAGCACCTGTGAAAGTTACAATATAGAAACAATGGATCATCTTCCAGATTCTAAGAGAATGACCAAGCACAATTTCACTGATGCAGCCAGGAGAATTTACCACCTCCCCAAGATGTCTAGAACAGGGTGTGTCTGGAGGAGCTCCCAAAGGAATTCTGGAAGATAAATCTATAGGCAAATGTGGTGCTAGTTTCGGCACCAAACACATACTTTCCTGGCTAGTTAACAGTATAGTTCGGGCAAGAAGAAACTTCTTTCCTGTGGAGATCTCGTCCTCGATCTCCATCAGAAAAGTCGTGCACCTGTCAAAAGCTGTGGCTCACCAATCTGCACTGGCACGGGCTGGTGGCTGCCACACCCCGCCCTCCTGGCTCCCTGGTGAGAGCTGCACTGCAAGGCCACACTCTGCCTGGCTGAGTCAGTGCCAGGGTGCTTCTCCATAGGAACCCAGGCACATCTCTGCAAAAGGGATACTTTCTTCTCAGAGGTTCCACCTCTGCCCCAGAGACTGAGTGCTATGATGAAGTGCTGCCTTTGGCGGCAGGGAGGAGAAGCCCCAGGGTTCTGGACCTTTCTAAGTGCAAATCTGCTTTGTCAGGACCTTAGTCTCCTAGTGCCAGAAGTTATATCTCTGAAAATCACAGGACTGAAAATTCAACTTGAATTTTGCATGCTTTGTACTTTCATGTGGAAGACCAGAATCCTGGGCTGCAGGTTGGGTGCAGGAAAGAAAGGAAAAGCAGAAAGGGAAATTCTGGTTGTCAGCTGCCCCTGTAATGTTTAAAAATATTTCTTCCAAAGTCAAAACAAAAACCCAACAACAAACGGGGACCTGGGGGACAATGGAGGGGGAAGGAGCGCTGTGGGGGAGGACAGCAGAGGCCAGGGCACACCTGGCTGCACTCAGCAGAGAGCCCACAGCCCATCTGACCATGGGGACATTTCAAAGGACAGAAGATAGAGAACTGCACCAGCCAGTGAGAGGAAAGTGAAGGGACTGTAGGGAAGGGTGAAGGGCAGACTGAGGGGACAGCTTCTTGGAGGAGACAGGGTGGGCAACCCTATAGGACAACGGGACGTGTATGAATGAATGGTCCCTGGGGTAACTGAACTGTCCTCCCTTGAGTCAAAGAAGCAGGGAGCCGCCCTGAAAACACCGCTTATGGGGACAGGTCTTGGAGCCCAATGACACATGCAAGTGACGATGGGCTCTGGCAGAGTGAGGGGGAGTGAGTCTTTGCACATTTTGGACACATGGAACAGAGGGTCAGCAAGGAGACCTGAAGACTGAAAGTAGGGAGGGCCAAAAATGCTGAGTCAACACACTTTGCCTGGGATGGAGTAGGTGCTGACCACAGGTGAGTAGGTGAGCCTGAGGAAGTTCAGTCCCCAGATACTGGTGTGGGGCACAGACATTCCTGACACCCGGACTCACTTCTTAAATGTGCTAAGTTGTTACCTGATGTGGGGCAAGTCACCTACTCTTCTCAGGCTGCAGACCAGACCTGTGCTCTGCACCGAGGGGTGCACAGCAGCCACTGGGGAGGGAGGCGGGGCCTGATGCCTCTGAAAGCCACGTGTGTCCTCTTCAAAAGAAGTGGGCTTATTGTGTCTTCACTACAGAGCCCAAGGCATGTGTTTGTTTTTTAATGGAGGGAGCCCATGTTCTTTGACTTTAAAAAATGGTGCAAAGTATAAAAGAGACTGAGATTTGAAGCATTAGTTACCCTCTGTCTTTCCAGTTCTAATTAGTCAGTGTCTTCTCCACAGATAAATGCCAGGAAGAGGAAGCTCTGAGGGGCAATGGGCTATCTAAAGAAGCCTGATTACACGGGGAAATCTGTGCATGTTCTGATTTCTTTCCAAACCTCTCTATGTCTTCACTTAAACTCAACCCCAAGAGGTGAAGTCTTTTTAGACAAAACAAACGAAAAGAAATCTTACTAAAATGGATCTATGCTATGTGTCTCCCTCCAGGTAAAAATAATCTTAACTGTTTAGTAACTAAGTTCCTTGGACAAGGTCTAAAAAAGACTGTAGGCTGAATTCTCCCTTCACCGAATTTCAAGACTCAACCAGATCACTTTCCTTCACACAAAGAATTTACATAATACACACGGAGTCTTGCAACCGAGAAGTCATCACACAGGTTCTCCCCTCACTTGGCCAGGAGAGAAGGATGGGCTACACAGAACATGACTGATTAATTACGGTCTGGGATTACAGAAGAAAAAGACGGCAGCGTACAAACAGCGAGAGGTTGTACATGAAGATCATATGTCCATCTATGTATGTCTTCTTACGAAGGCTCATGAAGAACAAATGAAGTGGTGCTGATGGACAGCAGATATTCCACAAACCTTGAATTAATGAAAGAAATGGCTGATCAGACCAAATGAGTCCAGTAGAATTAAATGTAACACTAAGGTTATAAACCAACATTATCTTAACAGAATGAAGTTTAAAAAGTACCAGAAATAAATATTTCAACAAACAATTATCAAGTGCCTTCTGATTTCTGGTCAAGATGGAGGCATAGGTAGACACACTTCACCTCCTTGCACAACCATGAGAAAGATCCCAACTAACCTCAAAACAAAAAACACCCAGAACTGCCAGAAAATCAAACTGTATGGAAGTTTGGTTTTAAATCCGACAACCAAGGATTTAAAGAAGCCATATTCACCCAGATGGGTAGGAGATGGGGAGTTGGGACAGAGAGGACAGTGTTTTGCTGGTGGCGAGGTGGCGGTGGCTGGATGAATAGGCAATCCCACATTCACATGTGGTGGATAAGAGTCAGGAGGGATACCTGGGGAGTGAGCGATCCCAGCCCCAGGGCAGACTGCACAGCCCAGAGTTCCAGTGCCAGGAAGACAATGCCTCATAACTTTTGGCTGTAAAAACCAGTGCAGGTTGGAGTAGTGGAAGAAACTGCTGATCTCCCAGGAGAGTCTGTTTAAAGGGCCTGCATGGTCCCAGAATGTATGCAAACACACCCACTCTGGGATCCAGCACCAGGGCAACAGCCAGAGGGGTGCCAGTCACATATGGAAAGTGGGTGAAGTGACTAGAAATG